AAACCGAGCCCGCTGACGAGAGTCCTACAAAGGATAAAGCCCGGCCCCGTGGCGATGGTAGCGCAGCCCCACCCTCCGATGCACCCGCCGTTGATTCCAAGGCCCCTGGAACCTCTAGGCCAATCGCGACCCCTGCCAGAGCACCTGCTGTGCCGGGCATCATCAAACTCGAAAGCAACCTGAACGTCCGCAAGGAACACACCCGCCAGGACTATATGAAACAATCCTGTCAACCCTAAACCCTAAACCCTAAGCCCGGGTTTAGGGTTTAGGGTTAGAGCCAGGTTTAGGGCTCTCTCTCTCTCTCTCTCTCTCTCTCGCTTTCTTTCTCTCATGGCTCCGTTTTGGGAGCGCTTTGCGTCGTAAATATACATACGTGGGTCTTAGGGTCAAGGGACACATAGCTTGGACGGGTTTGTTCACACATTCATTAATGTATATAGATGTTACATACATTGCTAATTTTGTTAAAAGGTTCATGGTATATGTTGGGGTGATTTAGGGTGTCTATATCCTATATACAGCGGACCCCAAACGAACTGTCGACCTTTCTGCCAAAACTTAAGACCTAAAACCCTATATAGATGCAACCCTTAAGCCGTAATCAACCTATCCGCAAACCCAAGTATCGATCTTACTAAGCCAAGAGAAACCCTCTCCCTGGAGCTTGGCCCTCAGCCTGTGCATCCACTTGCGAGGAGAAACTTCTCCTGGCCGCGAGAAGCAGACTGAACAGGATGATGAAGCCGCACAAGAAGAAGAAGGGTCTCGAAGCTCCCGAGTCTGCTAGGAGATATTGGGAGGAGGGGAACAAACAGGAGATGACTCTCTTGCTTCGTGATTGCAACTTTTGCAAGGACATATCGGGGCTTCTGCATTCTTTCAAGTGTATATCTGATCTGTTGATTCAGCATTGACTCTTATCAACATCTTTGCAGGACGTGTTTCTGCAGAGGCTTGAGAAAATCATCACGAAGAAGGAGAAGTATACCATGAAGGTTGCCGAGGGCTGGTATTCAGTGACTGAAATGAAATCGGAGCTGAAATGGGCCCAGCATCACACTTAGCTGACGCAGGGTGCACGGTACAGGTCTGCGATTTAGATAGTGCAGCCAATTATGTAACCCGGGGTCGGCCTCAGGTCTCGAATCGATGGCGCGGTTCGCCGGTGCAAATCCTTAGGCGAAAGCCATTGCCGGCACGGGCCCAGGAGTGTTCACAGGGTTTCGGGCACTTTCGGGTTATAGAGGGGTGGTCCAGGATTGTAAAGAATGCTCGATGTGAGCCAAGGCGAAATTTGTATGACGATGCGGACGAGTACTGGGTCACTACCCGGGAAACGGGGTCTAGGAAGGAGACCCTGGCCGTTGAGGAAAGACAGACGGACATTGGCAAAGCCTCTATGCCGGAAACACCCTAAACCCTAAACAAGCCTTATATAGATTCCGCCAAACCAGGATCTCCAAAACTTGATGTCTCCCTGAACTTAGGCCTCTGCCCCTGTGGAGATCCCGGAGGGCTCCTTCAAAGGAGTGAGTGCCTACCACAAGAGCAAGGCCTCTGAAGCCTCCCTGGTAAATGCCTCTTCCGGATCGCAGACCAACAAGGATCGGTTGGTTTGTTTATGTTTGAATTCCTCGCGCTATATAAGTAATTAGCCCCCCCTAACGAAAATAACATAGTTCGAACCTAGCCAACCAGACCTGCACTATCCTGCGGAAGTTCTCTGACGACCTGATGGCGAAGCTGGGTAAAATCCGAGGGCTCGTCAAAGATCTAGGCAAGAACTACGATGGAGATGACGTTGCGAAGTTACACATCTGAATTACGAGTTGGTTTTGCCGACCCTATTTAAGCCCATATATACACCCTAAACTCCTAAACCCCTAAACCCTAAATAATCTCAGTCCGAAGCCGAAAGCTGTCCATGCCGACAAAGGCACATCGAAGTCCTGCAAAGCTGGGTGGTGAAGATGGAGGAACAGCACGAATCGTGCCAGTTGGTTTTGAGCGAGGGTGAGGTGAGCCCCAACTCAGAGCCTCTAGAGCCAATTAGATTCAGTGACTTGATCCTTGTATTTTTCTCTTGAACAGCATGTAGACCCGTCCGTGTCTGTCTTGTTAAACAAAGGTTCAAATCGAAGGCTGAATCGCAGATGAAGACCAGCACATTTGTGTTCGGTTCTCGGCACTAACACGGTGGTTGCCAGTGCTGCTATATAACATCGTTAATGTAATTCTGAGGTGTAGCAAAGCCGTGGCGGCAGAGACGCGGATCCGGACCGATTGCTTGCTTCCTGTATTGGGTTATGGGCTTAGGGCTTCTATTTCTGAGGTTGGGGATGATAGGCTTGTGGACATAGGTTTGCCCTTAGTAAACCCCAAGCACTATAATCCTGAAACCCTGTATCTAAACCCTATATATACAGGCCCTAAACCCTATATTGTAGTGAATGACCCCAGCCCGAAACCCGAAACCGACATCGCGCAGGAATGCCAAGAAGTACCTGGACAAGAAGGACACGGAAACCACAAAGCGAGCCCCACCGAAGAACAACAATGCTCGGCCGAAGAAAGCAGCTAAGAAGTAGTGTGTGTTTTCCCAATTTGGGGGTAGACCGTGCGGGCGATCCTGCACGTTGGGGTGCAAGCCCGGCTGCAGCGCTGCGGCCATGCCTCGATCACTTAAGAGTAATAAATAACAGGGCTTAAGGTTTCTAAAGGGTCTTAGGGCATTTATGGTTTATGTTTGGGCCAGCTTCGGGAAGGTTTGTGCCTCAACATGTCAGCCTTAATATACCTCCGTACTCTAGAACCCCAGCCAAACCCAGGTTTAAGCAAGATCGGCTATTCAAGTCAATGTCAGTGGTCGAAAGCGCAGGGGCTCCAATGTCACAAGTGACAATTCAAGACTTGTTCCGAAAGGGGACTTCGATGCCATGTGGTCTTTTCGCCACAAGCATTCGATGCTTCTGAGTGCAACATGTGCGAGGGGCTACCAAAAGCAAGTCGCCCATTTAGTCGTGATGTGCTAGCACTTTGCAGTTTCGTGGCACAAGTACACTACGTAGTAGTACATGTGTTTCCAAATTCCTGGGCCAGGTCCCAAAGCTGGGCTTGCTGCTCGCGGCTTCTCCGCGGAGATCGGAGTCGGCGCCTGGACCTTGGGGTGCTCAGCTTCACTTCGAAAGCTCGCATGAGGGTGTTTGCCGAAGACTTTTTTGGCCCCAGTACATCCCTGTGCGAGAGTTGAAGCAATGACCCGATTTGTCAGTGCTGCTTGGAGCCATGAGCTGTGAGTCGGAGGAGGATGAACTCCTAGACTTATTGACCTGCCACCGCTCCGTTGCTTGTGTGGGCAAGATTGATATAGTCGAATCGCAGCAATCCTATATTGAATGTTGCACATCGAATGCACTTGGGCATCTGAGGCTTCTGATGGTCCATTTCCATGGGACAAAGCCTCTCAAAGCTCTACGTGCGTGTCTGGGGCAGTGTCCATTGTCTGTTCAAGACCCAAGCTTCTGGAAGAACCGCCAGCGAAACAGCCAAAGCCTAGATGTGACTATTTGCTTGATAATCCCCGAGTTCGACAACAAACAGAACTGTTGATGTCTGAGAGTCGTGCTCGAGAGCTTCCACTGGTTTTTCGGCTTCCTCGCAAAGGTCGCGTGGCTGGCAGTGTCTTGCAACATGCAGTTACTGTTGTGCAGGAATATTTTACTAAGCTGGAGCCTCTGATCTTCAAATTTGGCTGGACCCACAACCCCATATGGAGATGGAGCAATGACATGTACGGGTACTCCAAGGATGTCGATAATTGGTCCGAAATGATTATTCTCCATGTGTCCCACGAAGCCTATGGACCCGCTATGCTGGAGGCTGCTTTAATCAATATGCATCACAGCAACTCGCTGGCAGAGGTTGAAAGACAGCCTACATTAAGCGAGAGAGAGAGAGAGAGAGAGAGAGAGAGAGAGAGAGAGAGAAGAAAAGAGCGAGAGGGAGATAGAGACAGAGAGAGGGTGCCAGAAGATTGAGGTCGGGCTGGATGTCGAAATGTTCGCCTTGGCGGCGACACGGTCACCGAAAGCGAGACCTCAGCCGAGGATGTATTTATCACTTATATGGTGTACAGGTCGTTCAAGCATCCGCCTACCGGAAACGCAAGAACCTTCAAAAGAAAGGTTCCTTCAATGATTCCTAGTGAGCTTTCCGGAGCTGCTCAGTGAAGTCATGTGATGCAAGAAAGAATTGCAGAGCCTGCTTGCAAGCACCAGCGCTCACATCACCGATCGATTAGCATGCCCCTGCTTTCAAAACACCAGATTAGCATGCCCCTGCGCCGAGGCTTCATGCTCCTCGGCTGTTCGTGCTGCACGACGAGTGATTGCCGACATCGGCGAGAGGGCTGCTGCTTCTAGTGGGGGACTGCTAGAGTTGTCCAAGTGCCGAGAACATGATGCCGAGAACGATACCCACCGGCTCTTTGTCGAAAGGCTTCATTTAAGCTTGGAGAAGTGGGTACCTCTTTCTTCCCTGAAACACAATGGCCAGCGCTTGACTGTCTTGAGATTACGCGATTGGCTTCAATTCTTAGTCGACAAGAGCTGTTGGCACATCCTCACAGGCCTGGTTCGTAGGGACCCAGGCCGCGAGCGGGCGATTCTCAAAACATTTTGGGAAAAGTATCGGTGCACCCACGAGGACCATCCGATCTTCAGCATGGCAAGAGAGGGCCTGGTTTCTCTGGAGCGCACAGCTCCTCTTCTTTATCACGGCGACGAGGGAAGGGGGCGACGACGAACCCCGTTTCTAGTTTCAAGCTGGTCTTCGTTTCTTGGCCGTGGATCTGCCCCTGCAGATAAGTATCGAAAGGAGCATGGAGTCCGGAATGAGTACATCAAACATCGTACAAATTTTCGAGGACACTCGTTCACGAATCGGTTCTTTCAGGCAACAGAGCAGCAATAAGTGTGCCAGGATTTCCGAGTTTGCAAGGCGGCTCATTGATTTAGACGATCGAGGTCCAGGGCAGAAAGTAATAATACAGTTAAGGCTGTCGATGTATAGGTGGTCTGAATGTAAGGGGCTGGGGTTTGTTGTTTTTGGATGCACTCTGTAAGTGCAAGCTTAGAACTTCTGAGCCCGTTTAATTCTCTAGAAACTCAAATCCCGATGGCTGGAAATCCTATACAAGTAGAACCCCCTGCAAGCTTTCAGCAACAAATCCTTTTTCACAAACCCCAGGCTGGATGGCCCAAGAAAGTGATCGAGGAGGAGGGGGCCTTGGGCTTGCTGGTCCAGCAATGCAAAGATGAAAACGATTTCGTTTTGCATGAAGGTGTTTTTGATCGACGCAGCGGCGAGAAGTTTCACGCTTGCATCCTGGCTGTGACTGGCGACTGGCAGTGGCTGGTTAAATCTGGGAAACTGGGAAGAAACTACAACCACGTTGTCAAGAGTACAAAAGAGGCCGCAAATCCCGAGGGAATCTGCCACTTGTGTCAGGCGGGCCAAAGGGGGCACAGCTTCGAACAGTTGGATACGAGAACCCCTTCATGGCTATCAACGTTTTTGCGGCAAGATCCCTTTCTGCATCCCAGAAGCCCGCTGGCAGACCTTCCTCACGAGCCAGGCAAGGCTGCCACGATCTTTAAGTTCGACGTATGGCACACGTGCCATCTCGGAGTTTGCAAAGCTCTGGCTGGTTCTGGTTTGGCTTTGCTTAGTGAAACCTTCCCTGGCCGAAGCAAAGATGCACGCTTTGAAGCGCTTTCGAATGACTACTTGCACTGGTGCGCCCAGAATCAACGCCAGGCTCTTTTGACGAAAATTACGAAAGAAACGGTTGGTTGGGACAAGAACTCCAGCTACCCGAAGGCGAGTTGGTACAAGGGCTCGCTCTCCACCACGATGTGTGAGTACATCGAGGCAGTGACAAAAGATGCAGAGTTTGAGGACGAGCTTTTGACAAAGTGTGGTGAGGCCGTGCAGGCTTTGAATCAATTTATTTCTGGGCTTTATCAAGGCGAGGCATTTCTAGACTCCGCCACCGCGCGGACTTTGGGGGAGTACGGGCTACGCTTCCTTCGACGCTACACCTGGTGCGTCACACGGGCTCACGAACAGAAAAGATGTCTGTTTTTACTACTTCCTAAATTTCATTGCCTCCATCATATCACCCTTCAGGATCTCGTTTTGCCCTCCCAGACGAGCGATTGGGTCGTGAACCCAATCGTACACTCTGTACAGTTGGCCGAAGACTATATTGGCCGGAACTCAAGGACAAGTCGGCACACCCACCCGTCGACAACTACGCAGCGAGTTGCCGAAAGACATTTGCAAGCAGCATTCACGAAATACGTGGAAGCGCAGTACCTAGTTGCCGAAGGCGACAGCTAGCAAGGATGACAGCACGAAGCGAGATTCTAAGGATGACACCGCACATCGTGATAGGTAGATCATATATAATGTTATATACTGTTTCAGAACCCGCTCTCGAGTGCTGCTTTGAGCTCCCGGCATGGCAGAAGATCGAGATCGCCACGATGCGAAACATCAGGTAAGGGGTCTTTGGCGGGGCTTAAGGGTCTTTGGCGGGGCTTAAGGGTCTTTGGCGGGGTTTTGGCTTTCGGATGTCTATGTCGTTATATACACCATCAGGGATTTGCTTGCAAGGATTTACATATCTTCGAGTCTTGGTGGCTTGTGGAAGGGTGCTTATACTCAGGGATGTCCTTCGGTAGTACAAGGAATGTTGGCTTATGTTGTTCATCAACGTTCTTATCGAAACAGCTGCTTTTTCCAAGCATGTACAAAACCCGGTTTTCAAGCAAAACCCGGTTTCCCTCTAAAGAACCTAGTTATTTTTCCTAACCTACAATTTATTAGGGTTTGCGGGGTCTAGGTATATGTGTATGTGTGTGTACCGTGTGTCCTGTGCATCTGTCCTGTCTGTCCCGTCTGTGCCGTCGGTTCTGTCTGTCTATCTGTCTGTCTGTCTGTCTGTCTGGCCGCCTGCCTGCCTTGCTGTCTTGCTGTCTCTGTCTGTGTGTGTGTATATATATATATGCGCTTTCGCTTTGTGAGCGTGTGCAAGACAGACGGAGGTCTCTCTGAGAGTTCTCTTGACCGACCCCAGAGACGCGTTGTGTTCTTGTTGTCGCCTTGGCCGTTTTCCCCGATTTTCCTTCCTGATCGGAAGGGTCACGGACAGTTGGGGGTACACAAACGCTTCAACCTTCGGGACGAAAGCAAAACTAGGTTCACTAGAGCCGGCATATGAGCTTCTTGGCTATGACCGTGCTCGACGTGGACTCTGTCAGCCTTGGAGCATCCTGATCAATGTCACGGCGACACACCGTGGTGCAACAGGTGCCGATTCCAAATAGATGCGCATGAGTCACTGAGCTGGCATATGCATGCAAGGACAGCCCGAAAAGAAACCAGAGACGCAAGTTGGGAGAGGTACACACAGACACACCAGAGACGCAAGTTGGGAGAGGTACACACAGACACACACACACACACACACTGACTGAGCAAATACTTCAATCGCAGAACGTGTAAACCCCTCAAACCTGAAACGGCCAAGCAGCCGAAGCTTCCAGCGGCACTGCCTCATCTTTGTCGCCGTGAAGGATGCCTGGGCTGAGTTTCTGTGTCGGTTGGACGATGGAAAAAGAGCTCCGGGCATTTTAATTGTGTATGTTGTGACATGTAAACATGCACTCAGACGTATACACAATGCTCTGAATCCAATACATGCCGTACGATAATGAACTCGCTGCATATCGGTGCAGGTTTATTTTCCTATGTACATTACATATATTTATGATATACATACACATACGTTCGAACCATGACATTGTGGGACGCCCCTCTGGAGCCGGTGCCTGGACTGAGAGCAGATTTCAATACTCGGGGGCCGACGTTCAGAGCTCAGGGGTGCGACAGGGTTCCGGAATTGTCATGATGGCACACGGCGTGGAGGGCAGTGCAGGGTGAGCCCGGAGGCTTTCAGCACAAATCGGCTGAGCGGATTGCACAGCTCACACATGTGTTCTGTTACAAGCAGAATGGTCTCACGTCATTGAGTTGCCGAAATCGACTCCCCGGGCCGGGGAACACACAAGGCTGAATTCAATTCTTCTGACTCAGACGGTCGGGATTGAGGCTTCTTTCGCGCCGGCTTGCTTTTTGGACAAGCGGCAAACCGGACAAGCAGCAGGCATCAGGTCAGCGATCGAGGCCTCCTGGTCTACATCAACAACAAACACTTCGATGGCCGACAGCAAGACAAATCTTCCCTTGGAGCTTTAAGCTCCAACGGCCGGACTGCCTCCTAGCATTATCGATGTGCTACGTTGGCGAACATCCAAGAAGCACGCGCACCCCTTAAAATGAAAAAACACACCACATACAACACCAATGCTGAGACAAAAACTAACTCTCAATGCCATTGATTGAATTCTTTTGGAGAGGAAACGACGGGGCCTCAAGCTCCACAAGGATGGTCGAGTTGATGGTGTAGCCGCCCGTGGCCGAATGCTCCGAAGGCAGGATAGCAGTGCCTGACGTAGCACAGGACATCGTGTGCAAAACTTATTTCCGGAAATATGAATCCCTGTGTCCCGGAACTAAGGTCAGGTGAGGAATGGGACCCAACCCAGAACTAAACACCCTTTCAATCGTGCCTGCAGATCGCCCGGCCATTGCTTTAGACACTGTCCTGCACTCGGTTGGAACCATGGCTTGCAAGATAGCTCCCACGAACACCACGAACCATGTTCAGATGCGCCGCGACTGCCCACAACCCGAATCCGGACGGTGGAGTGTTTTTTCTGAAGGTTTGGCCATGCCACATTTTGAAAAGGTTTGGCTGCAGTGTCGGTTAGCCGAAAACACTTGGGGAATTGCAATTTCCGAAGTTTTGTTCGGCCGGAAACTATTACTATAAAGGAATTGAACTTTACAAGGGTTCCCTTTACATTTCTGGAATAGCACTCCGGAAGGCTTGCTCTTTCGGAACGCATTCCGCATGCTACACTTATACTCCAGAATACGATTTCCAAGGCACCCGCCTCCGGCAGTCTTCCTGGGCGATCTCCTCGTAGAAAACGACCGTGGCGCAAAGGAAGGCTGCGATTTCGTGATACATCCGCGAAGAAGCGAAGCGTGCGATCCTTCGTAACAAAACGATAAGGACGCAATGTAGTCCTTTGAAACAATGCATCGGCAACTCCACTCCCACCGTCAAGGTTGCGGATGTCTGCTTTTTTGGCGCATTCTAGATTCTAGACGACGAAAAAACAATCAAAATTAAGACACCGCTCCCACCAGAAAAGTTGCGAATTTTGAGGTTTCTCGGTTTATGAACGAATCGACCGAACTGGACGATCCTTCATTGTTTCTTTACGACCGTGGACCCCTCTCGCCTTCGAAACCGATCACGAAAGAAAACGCGATCCCCGAAAAAGGGCTGCGATTGCTTGCATGTTTTTGCTGCATGTGCGGAAAGCCGAAGTGCACAATCCCTCGTAAAAAGAAACAACCCCGTCGCAATATGTCGCAATGTCGCGTTTAAGCAGACACAAAAACCAATGATGCTCGATACGGGTTGCGAATTCTGCAACATTCAAAATCATCGATCCGAAGTGCACGAAATATCTTCTTTACGACCATGGACACCTCTCGGCTTCTTCGATTTGAAACACGACACGCAGGATTCCCGCAGAGTGTTGCGAATTTGGAGCAGCCTCGAAAGCCCGAGGTGCCCCGCGCATCGCAACCACCGGCAAATCCTGATTTCGACATCGACAAAACACCATTCCCACCGAAAGTCAAGCAGATGTTCGGTTACTCTGCAAAAACGTTTCCCCAAGTACTGACGCGATTTCACGACCGAAGCCAAAAATCGTCGCCGTGCCTAGAAAAAGTACCGCGGTCTGCAATTAAGGGTTGCAAATTCTTGATCAAACCTCGCGGCCACCGATGAATTATGAAACGTTACCCCCGCCCAGACGGGACCGCCCACCCACTTTAACATTTTTCGCCTCGGCCCCGGCCGAAGCGGTCAGCGGTTCCCACAGGTTTCCCCAGCTCATAATCCCTCCCCAGTACCATCCAGTGACCCACCCACCGCTTAACCGGCCAGTGCTAACCCCTAGAGATTCTGCAGGCGGTGAGTGGGCTTGCCCGGAGGACCCCCCGCAAATTTGGGGACCGCTCCCCCGCTGGCCACCTTGAACCATGTCATTTGGTAGCTGGGAACATGGATTTTCAATATGCAAAGATTCACGTCTCCATGTACGAACAGTCTGTGCACGCACTAGGACGCATACGACCGTGCACTTGCTCTCGACTAATGGAACTAGGGACCGAGGGACCGAGAGAGATCGCCAGGCCAGATGTACAGAAGCCTTGGACGAGTCTGATGCTCTATGGTTGTATATGATTAATCCTTACTTTCACTTATAAAAGGCTTTCATTACCGTCAGACGAGTTCCAAGCTTCGGAAACCGTCAACTGGAAATGACGTTGCTCTTTTCGGACATGAATGAATCTTGTTAGAAACGACATAACAGTCTTCGTTTGATGACTTGATGACCCGTCTCCAATGCATGCAGGCCTCTATTCAACCGCCACCGCAAAGGTGGCAAGGCCTCCACATTCGATTTTGATTCGAAGTCGACTTCGGATTTTTCGTATCTCTTATCGAAATACTTGCTCAGGCATGTGGAAGGACCGACTGTTTCCATCGACACAGGCAGACGGAAAAGCAAGGGAAAATCACTGGCAAGTGCACGTCGTGGTCTGCAGTTCGCAACCAAAAAGGCTTGGTTGAATCGGAACTTCTACCAACATGGCCACAGAGCATTCAAGAGTTTTCGCAGAATCGACCACGGTGGATCCACACAGTTGATTCGATGATATTGAAATGCAAGGTTGTCGTTGCGCATGTCGCTCACCTAAACGCACGTCAGGATTCGGACGCATCGCGTTTCAGTGCATCCGAAGAGCAGGAAGAACAAACCGCAGGCCCGGGTCCGTAAGATTTTTAGTCTAAGCTTTCCTCTAAGGAGACAAACCGCAAGCCCTGGTCCCTGTCCTTATCTATTGAAGAAGAACTTAAACCAAAATTCTTGGGGATCAAGCCCTGCGATTTGCCTCGTTGAAGAAGAACTTAAACCCCAAATATGACTGACTGAGTTTGCTGTTTGTCTCTCCCTCATCCCTTCATCATTCCTGGCGATGATGATCTAGAAACCTTCAATCGCAAAGATTGTCCCACTCATGTTTTCTGGCGATGATGCTTAAGAAAACCTTGAATTGCAAGGAGTGTTCCCATCATCGTTTCAAGGCGCTGTTGACCTTCAATCACAAGGAGTGCCTCCCTCATCCCTTCATCTTTGCTGGCGGTGATGCTCTGGAAAACCTTCAATCACAAGGACGGTGTCCCCCACATCTTTTTCGGTGCGGGGAGTATCCCCCTTCATCCTGCTTTGCCTTGCCACCCTGCTCTAGTCCGGGTTCTCCAAAGGCTTACAAAAACAAACCGCAGGCCCCGGGGCCCTACGATTCTTCGTCTAAGTTTTCCTCCAGAGAGACAAATCGCAAGACCTGGTCCTCATCATTTCTGGTTTACCTCCCTTCTCTATTTGGATCAGAACTGTCACCAACAATCTCAGGGACCACGGCTTGCGATTTGTCTCCTTGTTTTTTCGGGTAAAGGAAGACAAGGAAAGGGGGCAGAAAACGGTTAAAAAACCACGGTGTGCCATGCTTTGCTGAAACAAGAACGGGCCGGACCACAGCATAGACTAACTAACAAGACGGACTTTTTTGTCGGTGAAAAAGCAGGAAAGGGGCCAGAGAATAGCATAACAAGGTGGCATGCTTTCCCCTGACGAAGCGAGAAGGGACCGGCCTACAGCGTGGACTCACAAAATGTTTTTCGGTGATCAAAGACGAAAGGGAAAGAGCCACAGCATACACTGACAAAATAACTTTTTTCGGTAGAGGGGACAGAGAATAGGTTATCAAACTGGGTGCCTTTCTGGTTAAACAAGAAGGGGCCGGGCCCCGCCATAGACTAACAACATGAGCTTTTCTGTGTCGGTGGGAAGGTGGAAACCAAAGGAGCCGCAGCATTCACTAACAAAACGGGGCTTGTTGTTCGGTAAAGGGGCCACAGAACAGGTTAACAAAGTGGCGTGTCTATTTTGGTGGAGGAGAATTTAAACAATAATAAATAAACTTGAGAACTATCTTTGGGTGAGGGTGGAAAGGGCTAGAGGGTGTGAGAGGTGGAGCAGGGTGGAGAGGAGGGTAGGAGGTCGGGTGGGCTGTGGGGTGAC